TTCCCTCTCTCTCTCTGTTTATCTCTGATGAATTAAATAATAATACATTTTTTTAAAAAATTCTTTAAAAATAATAATAAAATAAATGCTGTAGTTGATTTTGATATTAGTGCTCAAGAGTTGATCCAAAAAGTTTGAGAGGCCAGCAGGTGTCATGCATGGTAGTTAGGGTACTGGACTCCCCCATAGTCAACCGTGGTTCAAGTCCTGGACCTGCGGGACTTGCTCTCACTCTTGTTCTTGCTCTCACTCTCTGGTCAAATTAAAGAATACTAATAAGTGAATAAAATTAAGTAATTATTTTTTAAAAGTTGATCAACGACACAGATTTTTTTTTTTAATTTTATGGTTGCAAATCTTTCCCAGGAGGGATTGATTCTCTGCCAGTGCTTTTATATGCTGACTTCCATAATCAAACTTGGAGACAAGAGAGTCCAGTCAACATAATAGCATCAGATGAGATGAAATGTATTGAAGCTCCCGAAAATATCACCTACAGTTTCATTATAGACCCAAAGACACAGTTGGAATAGACTTACTGAAAGGCCTTCCTGATAAACCGTCAGTCTAATTTCCATTACTATTCTTCCTCACCAGACATGTTATGTGATTTCTTATCACACAGGTTTATGCTGTGGTGTTTATTCTTATCCCCTTCTGAGGTGATTCTTACTGGTGTTTTTGATAGTAACACCATCAGTGTCTATGAGTGGTTCCAAAGCTTTAAGCAATAGAAAATTATTCTTATCAGGATTGGGCATGTATGACACAGGGTCTATAATTAATGGTTCTCTTTGGCAACATTTTTCTTCCTTTTTGCAGTAAAAACTCCATTGTATCTAATGAAAGAGGAGATATCACATGAATTATAGAACTGAAAATCAAATAGAAGTGACTATCAACCTTTATTTAAAAAAATAAAAACAGGGCCAGTAGGTGGCTTGGTAGTGGCATAGGATTCCCACATGACTGACTGCAGTTCAAGTCCCAGAGCCAGTGGCTTGAAAATTACACTGTGTGTATGCACATGCGTGCCTGAAATCCCAGAGGAGAATGGAGGAGAAGGGATTGCCTTATGGCCAGCACCCCTGAGGTCATTTCTTATATCCTCCCCACTCCTCCACCACTGCCTCCCCACCCCCCACGAGTACATGGCAAAACCTATTAAAAATCAAAACAAAACAAAACAAAAAACTATGGTTCAGCTTATGATACTTGCATATCAATGAGTAGGAGAGGCTGGCAAAGTACTAGATAGTTTTCTTCTATGTGACTATGTACATATCTGCTATTTTTTTTTAAACTTTATTCTTGTTATTCCAGACCCTCTGAACTTCCTAAAGATATCAAGATGATATCACCAGACTTGCCCTTTCTGACAATCGTTTTGATCATCATTAGTTGGACAACTTGTGGAGCACTTGCTATACTTCTTTCTTATCTTTACTATGTGTTTAAGGTATGTCAAATCAGTATGGTCAGAATGACAGGGCTTTGTATCAGGCAGGTGTAGAATGTTAACAGAGATTTTAATTACCACTGTAGTAATCTTCTGTTATATAACAGGTTTAAATGTAAAGGATGATTTTTAAATCTTGGTTATTGAAATTATGTACAGTTAACTGATTTATAGTTTTAGTAGAAATGTCATTAGTAATCTGATTTGTACTTTTGTTAAAAATGCAATGGGAAAGGAGAGGAGAAGATAGAATCTGTTTCAGGTTACTTGTTCTTGCAAGTGTTTTTTTTTTTTTCCCCTAACATTTTACTGGGTTTTTATTCACACCTCTTTGTATGTGAGTGAGAGAATGTGGGGGAAGCAAACTATCAGTCTTGCTGAAATAAATGGAAAATGTTACAAATGTTACCAAAGAATCAGAAAACAATGATAAAAAATAATTAGGCTGATAATTTTGCTGAGGAAGGAAAAAATATTTTAAGGTTGATAGCTTTGTAGGAAAAATCCTGGAGGTTATATAACTGCGTACTCTGTATATTTATCATTATAGATAGATGGTTGACATCAGAATGAAAAATACTTTTCTTTTTAAAGATAAAGGTATTGGGGCCAGCAGGTGGCATGGTGATTAAGGTGCTGGACTCCCACATAGCTGACTGTGGTTCAAGCCCTGGACCTGGCGACTTGAAAATCTCACTGGGCACATGTGCATATCTGCCCAAAATCCCAGTAGGAGAATGGAAGAGAAGGGTTTCCTGTGGCCATCATTCCTAGGGGGTGATTTCCCACTTTCCCTCTCGCTGTATCTCTCTGTCTCTGTCTCCAATGAGTGCATGCACCCTATGGGGCGGGGGGGAGTTATACATCTGCCCTTTTTCTTTTTCTTCTTTTTAGAGAGATTTTTGGTATGGGACACTTGTGTCCACCAGAGAGACAGAAAACAAGAAACCACCACCACCACCCTCCTCAGGGGGATGGCCATGCCACAATCCCTTTTCCTCCGTTCTCTTCTTGGGATTTTGGGCACACATACACACACACCTGGTGTGAGTTTTAAGGCCCCGGGTCCAGGACTTGAACCATAGTCAGCCACGTGAGACTCCAGCGATGTAACCATTATGCCATCTGCTGGTCTCTTGCCTCTGCTTTTAATAATATACATATTATAGATTATGTTCAGTTTTCCAAAGACATTTATGTATATCTGAAAAAGCTATTAGGTATAATTCAATTTAAAAATACAATATTTTTAGTACATTTATTATGTATTTTGAACAACTGACCCAATAAGCAAAACTTTCTCAATCACTGAATTTAAGGAAACCAAATGAATTAAATTTACAGATTTCCTCATGTTCTTTTAAATGTTTCACAACTGTTTATAAATGAGGTCAGATTTTCAAAGATTTGTAAAATATGTTAAGTTCATTTAATGTGGTAAATATAATCAAATCTTTGACTCTCGAGCCACATTAACTTGCTATAGCAAGGCATCGTTCAAACATCAGCTTTTACAAGACGTGTTCCTTTTATAGAATATCCTGTGGAAAGACCATATCCCAGCCCCAACACGACTTGTAAATGTCTGTATTATTTTGTTTCCATTTCTAGTTAATTCATGTTAGTAAGATGTATAGTTAAAGCTTTTCTAAAAGAATGTTTTCAAATGTTTATATGAATTACAAGTTGTTTAGATTTTTAAAATTTTAGATTACAGTACTCCTCAGTTTTAAAACAAAGAGCTTATACTTTGTGTTTCAAAACAAAAATGAAACTAAACAGTAATTTCTCCTTTCTAGATTGTTCATCTACAAGCCAGCCTAACTACTTTTAAAAATAGCCAACCTGTGGTAAGTTTTATTTTAAAAACTTTATATATTTTAATATAAAAGAACATGAGAAAATAATGGGTCTTTTTAAAAAAGTTTATGATTTCCTAGTGTTTAAAAGATATTATGAATTTAAATAACTTAAGAAAAGTGAGCCAAACAAATATTAAAATAGACTTAAATCATTCTAAACTTAATTTGGTCTTTGTCAATACCTGTGTCATTTTTACCTGTGTTATTTCAAACTATCTTAAATTTTATTTTTAGTAATTAGAGTATATATTCTCAGCAATTAAAATAGCAAGTGAAAGGAATACAAGTTTTATAACCATTTTAAAGTACTTTTAAAAATGAAGTAATTTTGGGACAAGCAGTTAGCATAATGGCTATGTTGCCAAATTCCCATGTACTTGACCGCAGTTCGCGTCCCGGACCCGGTGGCTTAAACTCACCGGGCGCATGTGCGTGCATGCCCAAGATCCAGAGAGGAGAGTGGAGGAGGAGGGAAAAAGCTATTAGGTATAATTCAATTTAAAAATACAATATTTTTAGTACATTTATTATGTATTTTGAACAACTGACCCAATAAGCAAAACTTTCTCAATCACTGAATTTAAGGAAACCAAATGAATTAAATTTACAGATTTCCTCATGTTCTTTTAAATGTTTCACAACTGTTTATAAATGAGGTCAGATTTTCAAAGATTTGTAAAATATGTTAAGTTCATTTAATGTGGTAAATATAATCAAATCTTTGACTCTCGAGCCACATTAACTTGCTATAGCAAGGCATCGTTCAAACATCAGCTTTTACAAGACGTGTTCCTTTTATAGAATATCCTGTGGAAAGACCATATCCCAGCCCCAACACGACTTGTAAATGTCTGTATTATTTTGTTTCCATTTCTAGTTAATTCATGTTAGTAAGATGTATAGTTAAAGCTTTTCTAAAAGAATGTTTTCAAATGTTTATATGAATTACAAGTTGTTTAGATTTTTAAAATTTTAGATTACAGTACTCCTCAGTTTTAAAACAAAGAGCTTATACTTTGTGTTTCAAAACAAAAATGAAACTAAACAGTAATTTCTCCTTTCTAGATTGTTCATCTACAAGCCAGCCTAACTACTTTTAAAAATAGCCAACCTGTGGTAAGTTTTATTTTAAAAACTTTATATATTTTAATATAAAAGAACATGAGAAAATAATGGGTCTTTTTAAAAAAGTTTATGATTTCCTAGTGTTTAAAAGATATTATGAATTTAAATAACTTAAGAAAAGTGAGCCAAACAAATATTAAAATAGACTTAAATCATTCTAAACTTAATTTGGTCTTTGTCAATACCTGTGTCATTTTTACCTGTGTTATTTCAAACTATCTTAAATTTTATTTTTAGTAATTAGAGTATATATTCTCAGCAATTAAAATAGCAAGTGAAAGGAATACAAGTTTTATAACCATTTTAAAGTACTTTTAAAAATGAAGTAATTTTGGGACAAGCAGTTAGCATAATGGCTATGTTGCCAAATTCCCATGTACTTGACCGCAGTTCGCGTCCCGGACCCGGTGGCTTAAACTCACCGGGCGCATGTGCGTGCATGCCCAAGATCCAGAGAGGAGAGTGGAGGAGGAGGGATTGCGGCGTGGCCATCCCCTCTGGGGGGTGATTTCTCGCTCTCTATCTCTCTGTCTCTCTCTGGCAAGTGCACACGCCCTATAGCAAAAACTTCTCCAAAAAAATAAATAAATAAAAATTTTTAAATAAAAAAAAATGAAGTAATTTCAGTTTGGTAATGAAAGATGCATTTACTTGATTGTTCAGTATGATTCTATTTTAAGCTTTTCTCTGTTTATTTGAGTATCTTGGTGATTTTACTTTATTGCTTTATAGAATCCCAAACACTCTAGAAGAAGTGAAAAAAAGTCCAATCACCACAAAGACTCTGCGTTACACCATCTTCGTTTATCTGCCAGTGATGCTGAAGATAGTCTTCGCATGCATAGTACCGTGATTAACTTGTTAGCATGGATCGTGTTACTCAGCATGCCATCTTTAATTTATTGGTTAAAGAATCTTAGGTGTGTTTTATATACATAATTATTATTAATGTAATGCAAACAATAAATATCCTTATGTAGAGACTTGCTAGATTCCTAATGGTTCCTGAAGATTTAATAACAGGAAACTGTGATATATTACCTAAAATATATTTTCAGTACATTCAACATTCTCTCTCTTACTATGAGAATATAAACTTAGGGAATATGAACATACCCAGAAATGAGCCAGAAAGAGTGACTTTTATTTTATATTTTTTAGTTTAGCTTTATTTTTAGTTTTGTTGTTGTTACCAGAGGGCTTATGTGCTTATCAGAGAAAGAAAGAGCACTGTCCCCAGAAGTGTGCGATCATGCCACAGTCCCTTCTTCATTTCTCTGCTTCATCAGGGATCTTGAGTTTGCAACACACGTGCACCTGCTATGTTTTTCCACCTACTGGGAGACCAAGACTCAAACCTAGTCTGCCACATGGGTTCTGGTTCCTTCCATAAAGTGCCTAACCATTGTCCTGTGGTGCCAGCTTAAATTTTATTTTTATTTATAGATAACTAGAAGTGTACTTTATCTAAATAATAATTAAACCTCCTACTCGGGACCAGCAGTTAGCATAATGGCTATATCTCTGGACTCCCATGTAGTCAACCGTGGTTCGAGTCCTGGACCCAGTGGCTTAAACTCCCACCGGGTTTGTGTGTATGCGTGCCCAAGATCCCAAGAGGAGAATGAAGGAGAAGGGATTGTGGTGTGACCATCCCCCCAGGAGGGCAATTTCTCACTCGCTCTCTCTCTCTCTCTGGCGAGCACATGCACCCTATAGCAAAAACCTCTCCAAAAAAAAAAAAAACCCTACTCAATAGTCTTCAAAAATGGTTTTCAGATTATCTAAATCTTGTAAGTATTTTCTGAAGTTGGTACAACCAAAATAAATTCTGTAAATAAAATAAAAGTTTGTTAGATTTTAATATCCTTCATCTCTTCCTTATTTTAGTCAAGATCTCAAATTTTGTTCATAAATTTTTAGTCAGAATTATTTGAAGAGCATAGATTCATCATTCTTAAAGCTATAGATACTTTACTGTCAATAAATGCAAGTGATAATTTGAATTTTAAAGGTAAGGGACTATCACCTTACATAAACCTTCATTTAATATATTTTAAATAATTTGTTTTTTAAAAACTTCATATATGACCTTTTAGGCATATGCCTGTTATAAAAGGGAAGTGCTTCCATACCAGATATTTTTATTTTCTTTATGTTTATGAACAAGACTCCATATAAGATTTTGGGTCTAAAGATGAATTAGAGGACCCAGCAGGTGGTGTGGTTGTGGTTGAAGCACTGGACTTCCACATGGCTGACCACGATTTGAGTCCCAGACCTGGCAGCCTGAAAATCATGCCAGGCCCATGTGCCTGTGTGCCCAAAATCCTGAGAGGAGAATGGAAGAGAGCAAATTGTGGTATGGCCATCTCCCCTAGGGGACGGTTTCTCACATTCCCTCTCATTGTCTCTCTGTCTCTCTGTCCCTCTCCCTATCTCTCTCCCCACAATAAGTGCTTGTGCCTTATGGCAAAAACCTAAAAATTAAAAACTAGAAAAAAAAGATTAGTTAGAGTAAAAACTACTTATCAGAACTTATGAGATATTCAGGACTCTTTTGAGTCTATAAATGCTACTGGATTGTTTTGAAAATAATTTGATTGATTTTGATCATTTAAAATGATCACATCTACTTTGTTGATTTATGGTTTTTTTTTTTTCTTTTTGTTATAGGTATTATTTTAAGCTTAATCCTGATCCATGTAAACCTTTGGCATTTATCCTTATTCCAACTATGACAGTTCTTGGGAATACTTACACTGTTTCGATAAAATCAAGGTATAGTAATTTAATATTCCTTTCTCTCACATCTGTTCCCGACCTTTGTCACCCATTATTTTATGTTTGAAATTACTTATTAGTTTGACAAGTCCTAAAGACATAACAATATTATAGATTTATAGGCACATTTTTGTTGTTGTTTTTCATTTGTATTTAGGTTTTTGCCACAGGGCATGTGTACCTGTCTGAGAGGGACAGTAAGAAATCACTCCCTTGGAGGATAGTCATGCTACATTCTCCTGGGATTTGGGGCATGTGCACACATGCACCTGGCATGATTTTTCAAGCTGCCAGGTCTAGGACTTGAACCTCGTCAGTCAGCCATGTAATAGCTCACCACACTACCTGCTGACCCCTATTTTTGTTTTCTGAATTATAGATTTTATGTATTAAGATATAATTTTTAAAAATATTTAGAAAGTTATCTCTTAAAGATAAGATGTTAAGATTTGCTTACAAAAAGCTCAGGAGGAGCGGACATAGGTAGGGATATAGGTGATGTGAAGGTCATGATGTGATTGTTTATAAGACTGAATAATAAGTGCATGAGGTGAGGTATCACTACTCTTAGTCTACTTTTGTATATATTTGACATTGTCCATAATAAAACTTGAATTTTGGGGCCAACCCATGGTGGTTAAGGCAGCTGGATCCCATATGGCCAGCTACATGGTTCTGAATCCCAGACCCTGCAAGAATATGCTGGCTTCATGTATGTGCATGCCCAAAATTCTGAAAGGAGGAAGAAACAGAGGAAAAGGGATTGCAGTGTGATCATTCCCCATGGGATGTGCTTTCTCACTTTCCTGCTGTTTCAGTGAGCACACATGCCCTCTGGCCATGTTTTTTAAAATAAAGGGGTCAATAGGTGACCTAGTGGTTAAGGTGCTGGCCTCCCACATGGTTGACCATGGTTCAAGTCCCAGATCTAGCTGCTTGAAAATCATACCAGGCATATATGCATGCATGCCCAAAATCCCAGGAGGAGAATGGAAGAAGAGATTGCAGTAAAGCCATCCCCCATGGGAGGGGAATGATTTTTCTGTATCCCTCCCTCTCTCTCCAGTGAGCCCATGTACCATAAGGCAAAAACCTTTAAAAAGTAAAATAAGTAAATAAATAAACTTGACATCTCACTCACTGGTTGTTTTCTCTGAGAGCCTCATTGGTTGATTCTAGTAGATATTTGTAGATAGATATTCTAGGATCAGGCAGGCCCAGGGTTTGAATCTTAGCTCTGTCATTAAATTGCTGTGTCCTTAGCCAAGTTTCTTAGCCCTGTTTATCCATCATTTTTCTATTTGCAAAGTAAAAATGTGATAGTCTTTTCAAACAGTGTTCATCTTTTCTTTCTTTCTTTTTTTTTTTTTTGGAGAGGTTTTTGCTATAGGGCTGTGCGCTCGCCAGACAGACAGACAGACAGAGACAGAGACAGAAAGCGAGAAATCACCCCCCCAGGGAGATGGCCACGCCGCAATCCCTTGTCCTCCATTCTCCTCTCGGATCTTGGGTACGCACACATACGCACCCCGCGTGAGTTTCAAGCTACTGGGTCTGGGACTTGAACCACAGTCGACTAAGTGGGAGTCCAGCGACATAGCCATTACACTAACTACTGGTCCCTACAGTGTTCATCTTTTTAAAATATTTACTGGCTTGGCTTATATGCTCCCTTTTTTGGGGGAATTAAAGATGGTTCCTTTTTTTATTCTTGGTTATGTGTATATATGTGTTTTGTTTGTTTGTTTTACTGTGGTAAGTGGGATTAAAACAAACATTTTCCTCTCAGGATTTTGAGGATTTAGGCCACACATTCACATGCCTGGTGTGTTTTTCAAACTGCCAGACCTGGGACTCTTAACTGCATAGTTGGCCATGTGGAATCCAGCCACCTTAACAACCATGTCACCAGCTGGCTCCAAAACTGGTCATTTTCTAATAGAAGTATTTTTCTTATTGCTACATTGAACATATGACTTACATTGAACTTTAAAAAAAAAAAAAAGCTATGAACAGGGGCCAGCAGGTGGCATGGTGGTTAATGTACTGGCTGACTGTGGTTTGAGTCCCAGACATAACAGCTTGCTTTCTCTCCTTCTCTTTCTCTCTCTTTCATGAGTGCACATGCCCTGTAGCAAATTGAAAAATAATAATAGTGATAAATAAAATTAAATAATTCTTTTTAAAAAAGAAACTATGGACAGGTAAATTCATTACCTAAAGAACTACTTCTTTTAATAATCACTTAGAACACTTACCCTTCCCAAAACTGTCTAAAAGGTTGACATACACTGTTTTAACTATCAAAGTACATACAATAATATGTTTCTCTGTCTCTTTACAGTAAATTGTTGAAGACAGCGTCACAATTTCCACTTCCTCTGGCTGTTGGTGTGATTGCTTTTGGGTCATCACATTTATACAGGGTTCCATGCTTCGTCTTCATTCCTCTTTTACTCCATGCATTATGCAACTTCATGTAAAATTGGATTTAAGGAATGATAAAGATGATTTATGCCTTTAGGGCCAAAAGTAAGAAGGAACACACAGATTCATCAACATGGGCAGCAAGGCCCTTTGGAGAAGACAAGTCTATTTTTACAGTATCAAAAATAGGAAATTAGTTTTGTAATGCTTGAGGAAAATAGTTGAAGCATGTTTTTTTTGTTTTGTGGTGTATCATCCATGAACTAGTCATTTTTGAAAAGTTAGTGAAGGGACATGGTGGCCACTGTTTTTGAGGACTCCAGTGCTTATCAGCTTGTTGTCTCCATCAATCATACCGGGGTCTCCTCTTAGAGATGTAGTAGATGCAGAGTTTGTATTCTCACCTCAAGCATTCTGCTTGTTTCATCAAAAGTGGGTTATTTTGTATTTGTTTTCATTTACATAATGAGAATTAAGTCTTAAAAGATTGATAAAATTCACAACTGTTTGGTTTTCCAAAAGTGAAGTAACCACAAAGAGTCTTTGATCAATTTTTGGCAGCCATGGTGAACAAGCAGATCATTAGTCTTCTTATATCTGTGAAAATAGGACCTTGAATTATAAGGCAACATGTGTTTTTTGGTAACCAATGCAAGATCAATTGATGGAGACATTCAAACTCAAAACTTAATGAAAAATGTTTAAATTTTTAATATGAATTGTATTGTATATGCTTGGTGAATAGCAAGAGACTGTTAAGGAGATCTATTACAGAATTTAAAGAAAATTCTCATAGATATTGACTTGCCAGCATTGGAGCAGTTCAGTTATTCACTCCATACTATTTAATTCCTTGCCCCTGTGGTTGCCGAAAGTGCCTCAGGTCATGACAGATTGTAAAAATAACTAAATTCCAGTGGTCATAAACAACTCTAGGTTTATACCATTTTTTTCTGCTGAGGAAAAAAAATCAGCACAATCAAGTGCAGTATCTCATTTGATATATAAAATTATACTACTAAGGGAATAACTGTAGACAGCTGTTACTCTGTTAATAACGTAATTATAAAGAGTACACCAGAAAAAAATTGGAGACTTCAGCCAATGGACTTAACAGTGGAATCTTGATTTGTCCAAGTTACTTCTAGAAATACTGTTTAAAAAAAGAAAAAAGCATAACACTTCTGTTTTATTTCAGATTTCTGCTCACTTTTAGTTACAAAGAGTAGGAAAGAGGTAATAGAGCAAGGTAGAAGAGTATACTCTTAGGATAGGATAACTCAAGCCAATTTATATGTGGCTCTTAGAGCCCTTCTTTTAGATGTGTATATTGTAAATACCCAAAACTTCTCAAGTGATATCCTTAAGCCCCAGTGATTCCAGTTTCACCTACAGACCTATGTCCTTGTGCCAAGGATGTCCTGGAGTACCAGTTTAATGTTATCTTCCACTGTATCTGAATTCCACGACAGCCTCTCAGCTGCTACTGCCTATAGAGGGTTACTCCCACTTTACTGCCTGTAAAGAGTTGTCTCACTTCTCTCAGTTCTTCCTCAGGTCCTTGCTGTTCAGCATCAGTTGAAGAGGGTCTTGTTATCACTTTTAAAGGTAGTAAGTTAGTTAGAGTCCATTGTTGTCTTTTCCAGCTTCATGCCTGAGTTTGGCATTCCTATTTTCACTTACTGAGCCCATTAAAAGGAAGCGATAACCTCGCAGTAGAATGACAGACACACCAGGCTCTTGTTCGTTTGAGAGAAGTGGCAAGGGGGGAATAAAAGATAAAAGGCTTCTGTGTTCAGTACCTGAGAGGAAAGAGAATTTATTAGATTATGCACTTGTCCCATGGCATACCATATGTATTTTTAAACAGGACACATCTGTCTATGTTTGACTCTATTTATACTCCAAAGCAACTTTTATGCACCTGGTATCTTCTGTTTTGCCACTGATACTATGTTGTGTATCATTACATATTAATGTGTCTTTTTTTTTTATTGTATTTTTTTTTTGAGGGAGGTTTTTGCTATAAGGTGCGTGCACTTGCCAGAGAGACAGAAGGTGCAAAATCATTCCCCAGCCGGGATAGCCATGCCACATCCCTCCTCCTCCATTCTCCTCTTGGGATTTTGGACACATACACACATATGCATGGCATGAGTTTTAAGCCACTGGTTCCGGAAATCAAACCAAGGTCGACTACATGGGACCAGCAGTGTAACCATTACGTCATCTGCTGGTCCCTACTGTGTCATGTAACTATTTTTGAGTTTGCCCAGAAAGAACTTCAGAAAATTCATTAGTTCGGATCTTCTATTGACAGCCATAATCATCATGTTTCTATGCTCTTAAGTCTCCTTGTTTAGTTAATACTCCCATGAATAAAATAAAATATAATAAGGTTAAATTTCCCACTTGTGAGTAGTATATTTCTCTTTTAAAGTAGCAGACTATATACATTAATTTTCACTAAATACATTTTCATGAGTGTAGTTATTACCAAGGCCTAAAGTCTTATTTATGTCAACAAGATCACTTATTAAGGACTATTAAAATGATTGTAATTAAACAACAGTACTTTAGGTCACTAGCCATTTTATGAGGGACTTCAAAAAGTTTGTGGAAAATGGAATTAAAGTATGAGTTTATTTTGGTGCAAAAATTTTTTGCATAGTTTTTTCATAATATGCAATTTCTATGACCTTTGTGAAGAACCCCCCCCCTCCCGTGGGTATGAGATATATACACTTACACACACATACATATACTTCATTTTGACAGGGTCTTTACTAAGTCCTGATCACTTTAAACCCAGGTAGCTACCAGAGTTGAGAAAGTAGGCTCTATCTAAAGATTAGCAAAATCGATGTTTTTTCACTTGAAAAGAAGAAAGGTCTTTGCCTTTAAAATTTGCAGTTTCTATAATGCTCCAAAATCCAAAACTTGTTGAACACTATTGTGACATCACAAATGAAAAATTCCACACTGACCTTATGGGATAGGTTACAGTAAAAATGCTCCAGTGCATACATGTATAAAATTACCTTTAGGCTGAGTTTTTGGTATACCATGAAACATAGAGGAATTTCATATTTAGACTTAGGTCTCATCTTCTAGATAATCTCATTATGTATATGCAACATTCCCAAATCCAAAAACGATCTGAAACACTCTGGTCCCAAGCATTTTTTTTTTTTTTTAAAGAGAGGTTTTTGCTATAGGGCATGTGTGCTCATCAGAGAGACAGAAAGCGAGAAATCACCTCCCAGGAGGATGGCCACACTGCAGTCCCTTCTCCTCTGTTCTCCTTGGGTTTTTGGCCATGCACGCACATGTGCCCAGTGTGAGTTTTAAGCCACCAGGTCCAGGACTCAAACCACAGTCATAGGAGTCTAGCAACGTAACAATTACACCATCTGCTAGTCCCCAGTCTCAAGTGTTTTGGATAAGGGATACTCAGTCTGTATTAGCAATATTACTGAAAATGAAGTTTATTGATGGTTATACATCTAATTCAGCAAATTATTAAGCTCCACACTTAAGGCATTTTTATTAAAGAATAATTAAGCTTGGAGTAAGCTTTGTGCTTATAAAATAACCCCTGGACCCTATTGTTGATAGCTAGATCAAATATACACCAGATAGGGAAAAACACTGAGTACTTTTAGTGTTTCTGAAGTCTTTCTGGAGTTACTACTGTTAGAATTTGGAAGTGATATTTGATAGAAATTATTAGTGTTCTTTTTTCTGGATCTTTTTCATACCAGAAATTAAAGTTTCTGCTAACTTTTCTTGGTTATCACCAGAATGAAAATATTTAAAGTGGTGGTTCTTAAAAAGCCATTTGTGCCTGGTTAACATTGATTTCAAGTCTCTTCAATATGTATTGATCATGTGTTGATTAATCTTTAATTTTTTTGTATTTTTGTCAGATAAATTCACATGTATATAGAGGAATACCTTTTCTTGAGTGAACTATACTAATATCTACATGATTATACAGTAAGAAAAAAGAAATAAAGAACTACAGTAGGCCCAGTAAATGTTTGTTGTTGGTTATCTTATCATTCATGTAGACACTACACTTTTCCAACAACGCACACAAACTTACATGAGCAGATTGTTTGGTTCATTATCTAGTTCCTGTGCTTAACTCTTCAGACTTCTCACTCACAGCATAGTGTGTTCATTTCACCTTGCTGCCCTCTTATGGAAGGTGATCAAGGGAAATTTTAAAAAGGCAAAACTAAAATTTAAATTCAGTTCAGTTCTTGAAAGCTTTGGGGAAATGGAAGAAACACAACAGTCATGGGATAAAACAGGGCTGTGGACTATAAATTCCCAGGTAAATTAGTTGATCTGTATTTTTATCTTAGGTATTAGGTCTAAATTAGTGTAATGTCTTACATTCTATTAGATTTAGTACAAAATTTTACAATATTGCATTTGAAATTTTAGTAACTGGCTATTAAAACCATTTGAGGGGGGAATCAAAAAGTGTGTTGAGACTTTCTGTGACGAAACATTTGTTGATTATTTTTCATTATCATTATTTGTTTTCTCAGCATGTAGAATTCATGAATTTTTGTATCATGGGAAACAAGATATTTTATTAAGTTTATTAGGGAAAACCTATTTGGAAAGCATGACATTCACCAGATAAAGGAAACAATAAAAGTATGTTTGTACTGTGAAAGTAGATCCTGCCAGGAAACTTCCTTTCTGAAAAAGGTAACCGTAGAGGGTACTTTCACAAAGTAGTAAGATGATTGGTAGCTGAAATTTTATCCCAGTCTTTTTGAATAAAGAACACTTCAAATTCTGTAGTGAACTTTTGCTTGTCTATATTCCTCGTGTTCTTTCACAAATAAGTTTTAATAGCCTGAGGAAATAGGAAAGCTGTGAGTCTACTCACATGTTTTACTTCTAATACGGAAAATGGAAAAGTCAGGTCAGTATTCTAAATCCAAATAGAAGTACGGTAAATGCTTAAGAATTCACATTTTGTTGATATATTATAAATACAGAAACTGAAGAAAAATAGGAAGTGAGAATAGACAAGCTGTTCCATTAA